GAAATAGCGTTACCAACCCATGTCCAGTCAGGTTTACCAATTACCTATTATAGTGATTTAGATTATCACGGCTGGGGTGGGACAAGATCCGCTCCCAGGGCAGTTTCACGACCTATCCTTCCACAGTGAATAGAGATTATGTTACATACCATAACTGATGCGTCTAATACATAATTCATCCTCAAGCGGGTGGCTCGACTTCCCAGGAATCACAAGTTAAGTATCTTCCACAATAGCCGTCAGCACTTGGCATAATCTCACAAACAAAGTTTCCAGAAACGGCCCCCGGTCTGCTACATTAATGGCTGAATACCAATTAACTACACCTGGCAACTCTCATGGCTTCTAGAATATCCTATGGTGACTGATAGGCCAACCCACTAATCAAGTACATTCCTTGGTACTTTTCATGGCTTCATCTAAGAAGGGTCTGTACCTATCCACTTAAATAGTTCCTATGTTAGTTGAATGATGGGTCTTAATTCTATATATCGTGGTAATGAGATTTTCGCTGATGTTACGCCTGACAGACAGTCACGAATATCAGTTTCCACCACAAAATCTAGCCATTAAATGACTCGACATAGGGAAAAGTGGTTGTTAATGAATTACAGCCGTTTCCTCTTGCTGCAAAGATACGTAAACGCATTCTTTACAAATTCCTAACATACAGTGTCTTTTAAATCAAGTGATGCAAGCACCAACATGAAGTGGTTGATCAAATAGTTCTTTGAGACAAACGTCGAATCTCTCACGTCTCCGTTCGAAGTTACCATACCCTACGACAGAGTTCAGGTTGCTCTTCCATGTTTTCCCAGGGGGAGGTCCCATGTTCTGCGTTTTACACGGCAAGGCAATGGACGCGCTTGTGCACCACTTTGGTACAGATTCATGAATGGACGATTACTGATCCTCAATATTTCAACCATTTGAATACTAACCTAAACAATTACACACCATATGATCAAAATTGCTGCAACAGTACTTGACCAACATCCAACACCAGTTAACCGATAGGCCGCCACTAAATATATAAAACCGAAGCTAGGATAGGAAATTCCGCCCTAGCACACATTTCTGCTTTCATCGACTGTGTTTTTCAGCAAGAGGTTGCTTTCCGCGGGTATCTGAAATCCAGGTTCTACCAGTACCATCACCGAGTAATTGACAACAACACTGATGACCTTACAGTCTGTGAACCTTCTCCCTGTCTCCACATAGTATCACACTTGTTTCCAGAGTGACCACCTATGCTACACCATCACGTGTGGGTCTTAGGGAGCTTGGCTGCTGGTTGCCTCTTCAGGGTTTCCCCTTATAAGCATCTGGATTACCAAAGCAATCTAATTACTTATGCTCTCATGACTTTTAACCATACCCTGGCTATTAAACCAGGTGCAACTAGCCGGTTTCCCACCTAGAGCGGTACCATGAGCAACTGAGGTGTTCTAGCAATTTGGCCATTATGTAAGCAAAGTATTACACTCTCCAGATTGAAAAAATATCACAATTGGCTTAAACCTATACCAAAGTGAAAAACCATGTTAATGAACTAATGTCAACACACTCGTCCTTCAATCCTTTTGCGTTACCCTCATTATTCGTTATTATTAGTAGCGATTGTGTATGATTTTGCATTGCTGGAAAAAAAACTTGAAGGAATCATCCAGTGTTCAAGAATGCTTTAGTTCCTTCTTTGTCCGCGCGCACCACCACCATCAAAATTTGTAGACGGGCACATTTATAGCGCTCCCCACCCGAATAGGAGCCGCACATTACACATACTAATACACGGGCACATTTATAGCGCTCCCCCCGAATAGGAGCCTCACATTACACACGCTAATACACAATATATCTAACAACAACTAGGAATGATAAGGAATACATGAGAGGCTGTGTCATGGTGGTGGCTACGAACCACTCTTTCTCACCCACACAGTCTTTGCACAGACAGCCCCCATAACCGGTGGGACCATCTATTTGGATTTCTTCTTCTAAATCATTGTCACTTTCTTCAATAATGGATGGTAGCTGAGTTACTGGGCTATTCCTTTTCATGGTGGGAAGAAGTTTCCTGCCTTTTCAATTATGCTTCTAGAGCAAGAACTACTAGCCTGACCAGTGGTTTTCATTTTGTTTGATCGCTAGAAATAATCGGTGACGTTTTCGACTAGTGATGTGATTTGACTATTCTCCAAGAAAATCAATGACCCTTTCTTGCGGCAAAGGCTTCGAATAGTATATTTCTGGCTCCACTTCTCAAGCCCTCACATCCTCACTTTTCTTTTCATCCTCTTCTGGGCTGATTCCTTCTATTCCGCTTTCAAGACTGATAAACACTTTCTTCGATTCTACCGTTCAGAGGCTATGCGACATTGATGGATGAATACTTCATTGGAGTATGAAACTCATCGCGATAAATGTAGGATTTGACATACTCGCGCATTGCTCTTAGAGTTCAATTTCTAATGTACATATAACTGACATAGCTTCCAATTTCTTCGTCTTTTAATTCACATCCCTCTTAGCTAACAGTACTGCAAGCCTATAAATAGTATTCCCACTTCCTTACATGAATCTTCCTCTATATACCGCTCCTTGCACCACACCACACCGCCGCCCCCCACACACACTTCTTTAATTGACCTATTCGAACTGGTATCGATTACTCCCGACAGATTCTCCACTCAGCCACGTCTTGATTTGTATGCTTATTCGAGATCATCAGCACTAGAGTTATGCTGTATTCGTGATTGGGGAATGATACGGTTGTTACAGTTGGGACTAGTAAATAGTCAAATATGAAAATACCCAGTGATCAATTATTGTTACTGCTGCTGGTTGTTGTTACCGTTGTTGTTGTTTTTGTTACTGCTGCTGATTGTCGTCACTGCTGCTGTTGTCCTATTGATCTTTTATAGATATTCATTGTTGGCTCAACCTAACGTCATGCTGTAGAACTACGAGTTGTGGGATATTACAGATCGTTAGCGCGATTGATTATTACGCAAATAGTAGGATAAGCCAAACAGTCAATACTGATGTTACCTTATCATAATAGGAATCGTCCGCCTCATCCGTTCTCAGGTTGGATGAAATTTCATCCTCGTTGAATAAGCAGACGGTTTAAGAGATACATCAAACGTCCATTGCTGAGATTTGCGATTTCTTGATAAAACGATCAATTTCTTATCTTTGCGAGGTAACAATTGTTGGCCATGTTGCATGTCTTCTGTACTGATTGACATCGTTTGTGTTGGAAGTGAATATACTCAGGGCTATACTCTAGAGCAGGTGTACGTCCAAACTATATATTGTCTGCCAACTATAATTACCGTTCCCCCCTCTCGAACATTATTGTTCTTAAATCCTCGGCGCGGTACACGTTAATAATAGACGTTATTGCGGAGAAGCAAAATGTACGCTCTGTGTGCGAACGCTTTCGTCGGTTATGTGTGATAACCCCACCTCTGCCGTTGTTTAGTGTTAATATTAATATTAAAGAGATCTACATACTCTAACTTTAAATGGGCAGTACGCCTTATTTGTCAAACCTCAAAACCCGTCATAATAATAATAATAATAGATTGAGATAATCGGAATTTACAACCTGCTCAGGTCGTGCAGGCTCAAATATTATCCCTTCATTGGACACTCAGATGGCTTCTCCTCCATAAATAGAAATATTATGGACTGTACGACGTGTCGGGTTGTGCGACCTGGCAGGTAAATTCCTGATAATTACAGAATTGGATTGAGAATGTAGTAGTGGTACAAATTATCGGAATAGAATTACCGAAGCATAGTAATAGTAATAGTAATAGTAATAGGGGGCAAAATCCGTCTTTTGTTCATACGTAAAAGATATGCCAAAAAGCCACGACCATCTCAAATAGATTTGACTAATTGATAGTATACATTGTGACCTTCATGATGATAACATAGTTTGGTGGAGTTTAGTATTAGGCTTCGTATTGTTTGTTTCTGTTATAAATAACAGTGTTCTTTGTAGAATCGTTTTCTGTAAAAAGGCAATCGCAAGATAAATTCTTGTTGTGGATGAACTCCTTTGTCCGACCGGTTTATTGAGAATAAACATTTTTATTAAACCACTTGTGGAATAAATTATTATACAATGAATTTACGAATTGGCCAATAGATAAGCAACAACCTAACCGATGCCTCGGAAAACTGGTGAGGTAGGTCCTTCAACATCAGGTCGTAATCTAACATGAAGTCGGATGAAAATTAATCAGTAAATTGTAATTGTAGTAGTGTTACTATTAATCAGGCCGTTTAAATTTGATCAGGTAATAGAAATTGAAGAGCTTCTAACAGTCCCCGAAGAAGACATTGTTACAGAAGATACAGATGATAGTACCAGCGCAACATGTTTGCGTTAAAAAGTCTAGAAACTATACAATCATTCTTAATCCAAAATTCTAGAGAGATATATTAGAGAAAAGAAGGCTAATGCATTGCATATCCATACCTGTAGATAAATATTTCAATAAATTATAAGATGTGGCGAAGAGTGCATTTATTAATATTGTTCGTATCACGTGAACTTGTGCGTAAATGCACCAATTTGCATTGTTTTTTAATGCACGGTCTCAAACTCACGCAAAGTGTGTGAATCTCTTTTTGCTATTTTCCAGGGAAAGAAATTACTATCCCTTTTTACGCGACTGTATGCATTGAATGTCGTACAGCGTCAGCTGATCTGACATACAACCAATCAGTCGATCATCTTATTTTGTGGCAATCAGTCCACATCAATATAAAATATATAAGCGCGTCTACGGCTGCTAAATTCCCTGATAGACCCACAAATATGAGAAACTCTTCAGACTTTCGCCTAAAACATGTCATGACGGTAATTATGCTGCCTAATATGAACTATTTGTCCTATTACTTTTATCGACCTACTCAATTGTGACATTTCCACCCTTCTGGTTTCAAATGTCTACGTGAAAGAAAAGGAATCTACATATAAAATGCCATTTTACGGCGTTTCTTTTAACCCATTCAGGCAAAGGAATGTAATAAATGTCTTTGCCGTTGCTGGCGGGCGAATGGTGAGGATAAAGAGAATTGATATAATGTACCCTTTTAACAATTGTCTACATATGCGTGCATTTTTGTTTATAAATCGCCTGTTAGGTAATTGTAGCTACATTTGAAGAGGTTGAAGAAATTGACCCAGCTCTAGATAAACCAAAGAGGGGTCGCCTCAGGGTGCTACAGACATATACGGATGAGAATGTATTCTATCAAAGCTTTTTGTATGAACTTACTTTTCGCAACAAATTTGAAGGCTAACAAACAAGTCTGCGGTGATAAGGTGTCTGAAAATTTCTACTGTGTTGCCTGGTCGTACGATCCTTTAACGGGGGCACCGTGGGTTGCCGTTGCTGGGGCGAGTGGATTAATCAAGATTATTGACACCAGTCAAAAGAAAGTCGTTAGAGTTAGTAATTTCATTTGTACTGAGTTTTTCGGTTCTATCTCATAATCTGCGACGCTGAATGTTGAATGTTGACTAAATTAAAGGGAAAATTATCTCTTCCCAGGTGCTTGCCGGTCATGGTGATGTGAGTCGCCATTTTATTAATTCTTTATTAAAGTCAGTCGACGCTGGCTAATTCGTACATACTTATTCAGGAAGTCAATGAAATGAGATTCCATCACCTTCGACCGGAATTACTGTTCTCTACCAGTAAAGACTTTTCGATTCGACTATGGAATGCAAGTACTGGCGACTTGTTGGTTGTCTTCGGCGGAGATGGAGGGCACCGCGAGAGCGTACTAGGAATTGTAGGAATTCCATGAAAATTATCCAAGTCTGGTCTAGTAAAGCTGTTGACATAGTTAAATTAACTGTTTATGATATAAATTTGATAGGACTTACATCTGAGCGGAAATTACTTAGCTTCTTGTGGAATGGATCACGCGGTGAAGATATGGACTCTTTGTAGTCCAATGTTAAAACGTGTTATTGACACAGCTGCACCTCTATCCGGAACCCAAAACTCTAAAAGAACTAGTTCAACATTAACAGCGACGTCGACATCTTCAACATCATACGCAACACAAGAACACTCTTGTCAATGTACAGTTCCAGTCACGACTACCCAAAATCATACATGCCGGCAGCCAGTATATGTTCATTATCCCATTTTCTCTAGCACGGAACTTCATAATAATTATGTTGATAATATTAGATGGTATGGCGATTTATTGTTTTCGAGATCCACTGAACCGAATATAATACTATGGAAGCCAGAGGCCGGATTACCAACAGAAGAGGACTATAAGAACAAGGATGCTGATGATCCTTTCCAGTCGAAATACGCCTTAGTTGGGGGAAGGGCACATCCTAATGCGGTAAGATTTGTGGCGATCGATACATAACTTCCATAAATATGAAATAAATCTGACTCAATTTATAGCAAACATCGGACTTTAACATCATCTGCGAATTCAGTTTCGAAGAATGCGACATATGGTTCGTCCGCTTTGGGCTCTCACGTGATAACAGATTCCTCGCGACCGGCAGTCAATATGGTAAATTGTTTTTATGGGACTTAGATTACATTCCGCATTTTATAGACAAGTATATATCGACAAAGAAGGCTTGTTCTGTGAACAAAAAAGAAAGCAAAGCGAAGAAGAAACAGAATCTCTATCTGTCACAAAAACCAGCAAGTGTAACGCGAAAAAAAAATACTAGCACCAAATCCATACCTCAAAGCACAGGTAACAGATCTGGTACTAAACAAAATGCAAATAAGCAAGCGGGAAAGAGGCGAAAGTGTGTATTGCGATTATTGGAAGGTCCAAAATGCACAGCCACTGTCCGACAGGTTACTTTTTCGCCCGACGGCGAATGGTTAATCGCGGCCTGTGACGACGGCACCATTTGGTGTTGGTTATCTGAAGAGGACGAAGAAACTGATTGGGACGACAGTGACATGGATGTAGACACGGTTGACTAGGTGTACGTACGAATATTAAGAGATGTGTGAATCCCTTTCGCCCATTGAAAGCGTCTAGTCTTCGGTTCAACAGCAAGAAATTCTGTATTTCACGGGGATTTTATAATCCTCCGAAATTGATGTATTTGATGTTCAAATAGTCTTCAATACCATATTTTGAGCCTTGATTTTGGACAGTAAAAGAAAGCATCAAGTTAGTGCGAATAAAGGTCGTCAGATCCAACCAAGTATAGGCAATAATGTATTTTATGAAGGTTACCTTCACGACCTACGCCAGATTCTTTAATCTGAAATGTAAAAATGCAAATTAAAAAAAGTCGTCGCAAAGTACTGTCGAATGCAAATTTACTTACACCACCAAAAGGTGCCTCGCAATTGCTAATGGCACCGGTATTGATTCCAACCATCCCGACTTCTAAAGCTTCCGCAAGGCGCCAGCACCTTCTGACATCCCCACTATAGAAATATCCAGCAAGCCCAGATGATGTGGCATTTGCAAAACCGATTACTTCTTCCTCAGTTTCAAACTTGTATAAAGCAGCCACGGGACCAAACGTCTCTTCGGATGAGATCAACATATCTTGTGTCATGCCGTTTAAAACTGTCGGCTCGAAAAAATTCCCCGAACGATGTATTCCACCAATAATGATTTCAGCACCCTTAGCAACCGCATCTTCGACATGCTGCTTTACCTTTTCGACCGCTTTCCTATTTATTAACGGTCCATGTGTGCTATCACTTTCAAGGCCATTTCCTAATTTGAATGAACCAACTTTCTCGGCGAGACGACACGCGAACTCGGCGAGTATACTTGATTGAACGTATATGCGGTTGGCACAGATACAAGTCTGTCCTGAAGCTCGGAACTTGGACTGAATTGCTCCTATACACAAGTGCCAGGGATAAGTAATATATACGAACAGAGGTTCATGATTTGATGTAACAAGTACTAACCATCAACAGCAGCATCGATGTCGGCGTCATCAAAAATAATGAACGGAGCATTGCCCCCCAGTTCCAATGTAACTTTTTTCAGAGTAGAAGCACTCTGTTTCATTAGTAATTTACCTACGGCAGTCTAAAGAAACAAGAATAAGTAAAAGTCCCTTCCTGACTGCGTTAACAGTGCTCAACCATAGCAGTCATACCGATCCAGTAAATGATATTTTCTTGATTATCGGATTAGTACATAGCTCCTCTCCGACTTGTTGCACATTCTCGTGCGTCGTAACTACGTTAAAAACGCCTTTCGGTATTCCCGCCCTATCCGCCAACTCTGCAAGAACCAAGGCAGATAACGGAGTCTCTGCACCCGGTTTTACAATTACCGTACATCCGGCAGCAAGTGCGGCGCCTGCTTTTCTGGTTATCATAGCATTCGGAAAGTTCCAAGGCGTAATCAATCCGACAACCCCAACGGGTTGTTTAATGACTATGAGACGTTGATTACTAGCAGGAGACGGAATGACATCACCGTACACGCGGACAGCTTCCTCGGCAAACCATTCAATAAAGCTTGCTCCATATTTGATTTCACCGAGAGCCTCTTTCAGAGGTTTACCATTTTCTAGAGTTAAAATGGTGGCGAGATCATTTTGATTCTCGAGGATCAAAGCGTGCCATTTTTTCAGCAGGTCGTGGCGTCGCTTTAGGATGAAGTTGAGAATAAATAATATAAAGTTTAGGAGAGGGGATATCTAAATAACCTGTCATGAAATTGGTGTCGATATAAAGCAATAACCTTTGCAGTCTGCTTAGACCAATCATTAAATGCTTCGTTTGCAAGGATAGCTGCCGTTTTTATGTCTTCCGCATTCATCTCTGGCACCTTGCCAATTTCCTGTTCCGTAGACGGATCTAGAATAATACATTTTCAACTAACAATGGCATTCTTTCATCTCCGACTCACACTCCGACACGAAAATGACAAATACCTGTGACTGAAAACTTGGCTCCTGATTCAGCTGGAACCCATTTACCGTCTACATAAGCCGTCTGACGGAATAATTTGGGATCATTCAACTGCAAATACGTACGGCGAGGCATTAGTTACAAGTCTGAATTCGAAGTTTTATATGAACAATGCAATAAACCTTTGGCAAATTTTTGTTCTCTGTTGAGAAAGTGCGCGACATTTTAAATGTATTTGTGCTTCTGAAAGATTCATGTGTCTTTCTTAAAAGCAAGCGTGCGACTGAAGAATGTATTGGCGTTCTAAAAAACATATCTCTAACGGACATGTTCCCAGAGAACTCCGAACATCTATTTGTAGGCCTGAAGATAGAATACACGTGATTCAAAAGTTTATAGTGTAATATTAGCATCCACATCAGATTACTGAAAAATAGTCCCTTCTGTATTTAGTAATCCATTATACTCCGAATAGAATAGTTGAGTGATCAACGATGCATAGTGATGAATTACTACTGAACATACTAATACGGATTTATTGATTGAAAAGTCGCCGAATTCTTCTTTCGGTGCTTTGAAAGGAATGATGAATACTCGTGATGAAAGAAGCATTGCTGCACTTGGGTTTAGCGTCTTTACACCTTTCCCATAAGCGTCGTCATGAACGTTGGCAGCAAACGTTGAAGACTTTGTTCGTGTGTATTATTGGTAACATAACGCAATGGTATGGTCTTCAATTCAGACATCCACAGCAAAATAAACTCGACCCCTAATTGCAAACTGGAAGCTGGGGGTCCAGAGGGTGAATGCTTGCATTTAACGGTATGGTCACAAATTCGCTTTCGATATAAATACTATTTATGAGGAACTCGCAGAACTCGGCTAATAAACGAAAAGAGACGACGAGCTGTGTTGTAAGTAACAAAGTTTGCATTCCCAATATTATCGATAGTGACTTTGCCTAAATTCTATACACAGTTATAAAATCCCCTCTTCGACGTCTTCACATTTTTGCGATTTCACCGCCCAGAACCATTCAATAAGCCTACATCTCGTCGGACTGATTCTGTAATATTAATATTAATAGGCCCGTAATCCGCCGGATGACGGCTGTTATATTGTTATTACTTTCATCACACTACTTTCATTGCTTTTCACACTTATCGAGGTTGTCGAAATGGGAGGGAGGAGCATATATGTACAAGTATAATGTTAACATCATATCCGTCCTTCATTATGTTGTCATCAATACATGATTAACAAAGATTGTCATGGCATGTCAGTTGTAGAAACTATCTATCGGTTATCAAGTCAAAAATTCTGCTACTGTGACGATCATCTGCGAAATCACGAGATTGCTAAATTACTATAAATTCAGCTTTTCGCTCACATAAGAGTAACAAAATTACTAATATGCGTCATGCCAAAAAATATCGCCGCCTCAATCGCACGTCAGGTCATCGCCAATCTCTTCTTCGTAACATGGTATCTTCGCTCATTAGACATGATAGAATAAAAACCACACTTCCCAAAGCGAAAGAGGTTCGCAAGTTTGCCGATAAGGTAAGCCGTTATGCGATTACTGGAGGAAATATTTAATTTTTGTGTTGATTTCAAAGTGAGATATTGGAGTTTGTCATTACATTGGCTTGTGAATTGTCAGATGGTGACACTGGCTAAACGGGGTGACGCTCATGCTGAAGCTCAAGCTAGAGCTTTTTTACGAGTAAGTAATATATTTGTACTATTACTTATTTTATGTCGGACTGTTGGAGCAATAACGATTCATTGGTTGATTAAAAGGAACATGTTGTCACTGTGCCCAAATTATTCGGCGAAATGGCCGAGCGCTATCAGAATCGCCCAGGCGGATACACCCGCATTCACAAACTAGGTTATCGGGATACAGATCATGCTTCAATGGCAATTATTGAATACGTAGACGCTCCTGATGACATCCGATACGACATGCTCATAAAAACACTCGCTCGTAATGATCTCAATAAAATACTCAAAGTATCTTCAGAGTCAATAGAACAGGGTCAGGGCAACATTAGATCGAATCGAATCGATAAAAAGCGAAGAATAAGTAGAGAAAAAGCCCAGTTGAGATTAGCAAAGAACATGCGGAAGTTTATGAAGACAAAGAATATCGGAGAAGATGAACTGAAGGAAGTGGTTGAGCAGGAGCGCGATAGGCTCATCCGGATGGGGCAAGAAAAAGAGGATTTCTATATTCAAGATAAGATCAGAAGAAAAGGCGGTAGACTTTCTTATTATAACCTTAACTGAACATAGACAGCTAAATGCACGGAATTGCGATCAATGAAAAGAAATAATTATGCATACTCTACGTTACCTGACTGAAATTGCGGAAATGCTTGTTATTTTATCACCGTCCATTTTTTTTTTTTTTTTGCGAACTCGATCGTGGTGTATATGCAACTGTGACATAAGATCTACATTAACAAAAGCATAATTAATAATAACAAATAGGTATATAATACTTATTCAAATAATAAATGTAAATACAAACACTTGTTCCTTGAGAGAGTATTATTAGGGTTGATGATTGATGCCCTCTGGTGTAGGGAGCAGTTGTTGTCGACCTGATAAAGAGCTGGCGCAGGTCCAAACTTATCTTTAACTATGAAATTCATCCTTGGTAGTGTTAATAATGGATTTCGAGATCATCTCATTTTATGTAACGTATATACAGTAAAACGCAACACGCGGCAACAAGGGATAGTTTTAGCATGTTTAGGATCCAGTTTATTAATACAAGATCCACTCCTTGTACAATCGAATTTAGTCTCGTTGAATTGAGAACGTGGTCGAAGTTAAGATTACGCGCTTTTATTTTAGCATCAGTTCTGAATTATGTATTTCGGGTAGTACAATATGACTGGCCTTTATACGTATAGTACAGTTAAGAAAAAAACGAAATATTAATTAATACACAGTCACTCTCGATAATGATCCTCTGATAAGATGATGCTGGCCTAAGATGAGGTTTTTTCTGATTTTGTTGTAATGAACTCTCAATGATATCTTATCGAGAGTGTGCTGCCAAAATAAACAGCAAGTTTTTTGACCGCTGACGAGCTTAAAGTCCAGAACCTAATCACTGAATAACGTATCCGAAATTATTCAGTTATCCGAATAACTATACATAGCCTGAGAAGATGGAGGATAGAGTGTTTGATATTGACGGATAAACAACAAGAATAACATGCATACTATTGCTGATAGCTAGAAGACGAGGGAACGAAAAGTTCAACGAAAATCATCAATCCATATTTCAAAAACCCCGAATATTCGATTGATTCGGTTATCCGTCAACATCGTATAATGTTCGGTTATTTGATAGCTGAAATATTGAATGATTATTCAGTTGCGAACGTTAGATGAGCTAATGAGATCGCTTGCAGAAAGCAACTACAATGTTGATGCACGATAGTAGAAGTATCATATGATTATTGTTATTACTATTACTATACTAACGAATCTATCGTCGTATTTACGGTTGAGGAATAGGATGCAATTCCTCAGGAGATGGTTAATAATTTAATCTTGACAACAGTCGAAAATTTATTGTTATGAAGTAAATTTTAAAAAAACCTTAATTGTTTAATTTAAACCATATCGACTAGTGCAAGATACTTTTATTAACAACGATATGCTAGTTAAAGTCCATTTAAGCTGTTTTTGTCTATCTATATGTAGAGGAAGAGAACCTTCAAATACGCCCTGCGAGTCGGATGACCATCGAAGAAAATGATTTCTTGCTTCAGATTAAGTTTTTTCTGTAAAATTTATTATTTATAAATAGACTTCATGTAATTAAGAAATTATTTGTTAGGCATTTATTTCTTATTAGCTAAATGCAGTTTTAGCGTTCAATAGTAGGTGCAAATACAATTATAGACGCGTTTACTTTATCTTTTGTACGGGTACGATTACAAGCTATTACTATAATAAGACGAGACGATGATAATCTTTCCGATATCCGAGTTCTTGATTCTTCGGTTACAACACTATATAAATTTAGTGGATGGTAAAACTGATTATACAAATTGCCAAGTAGTCCTCTGCATCCGACTTCAATAAGCAAGCGCCAAGTAAACTTGAAACGGCCATGTACTCATTCCTGCTTTGTTTTGTCCTTTTCAAAAATCCGGCTTCGCATTCTCATTAGGCATATGTACAAACTGTGGTTTTTTTTCTTCTTTAACCAATTAGAAGCGATCAGCCCTAGAAATAAATGGATCAAAATATGTATGAATAACTGAGACTGCAACATGTTGACAGAATTTGAGGAACGTATTGCTAGGAATTATGACCGTGCACTGCAACTTGGTGCGCTTGTGTTTATAGAAAATACTCTGTTGATTTTGCCAACTGATGGTGTGAATGTACGTGAATAACAAAGTATAAGATAATCAAGTTTGGTCATATGTTTTAATAAACACTAGTATGAAGTTCATTATGCACCTAGTTTGTCTAAGAAACCAGAAGCTGCGTTGATTCCAAAAGAGGATAAACCAAAGATAGATCCTTTTGCACCTTATGAACCTGAATTGTTTGTACAAGAGTATGGAGACTATGTAGTGCTGCTGAACAAATTCTGCGTCGTTCCTCACCATTTATTAATAATTACGAAAGGTTTGTCGTCGATTTTATTAGATGAGCTCGAAGATCTTGGTATACTAACTGGCATCTATTAACTTGCAGAGTTCAGATTACAGACAGAGCCTCTTTATCCAGAGGACTTTGCTGCTATCTGGTATTGCATGTCACACTTAAGTACCCCATCGCTTGCTTTTTACAACTGTGGTGAATCGTCTGGTGCAAGGTAAGCACTTGTAAAAACTTGGATGCGAGTCAGATCGAGTAATGTAAAATTGATGTCTTTTGGATTATACGTTAATTGACAGCCAGCTTCATAAACACGTTCAAGTAATATCTTTAAGGACAAACTCGCCACCGATTGAGACATGCATAGACGCGATAATAGAAAAATCTCCAGGTATTAACCCTACACAGGAGATGTGTCTAATCTGTTTCCCTACCTACTCTTAACCGTTCTCTTCTTATGCCATAGGCAACGTTTTCGATTTGCCTCAATACCCATTTGTTCATTGCGGGATGTTTCTTGATCAACAAAAAATGGTTCCGCCATCCGATACGGATAGCGGTGAGGCATGCTATGAGCTGGTTGGCGAGTATTTAGCTGAAGTATTTCACAGGCTTCTTGACGAAACAATTAGTCTACTACGAGAGCTTGCCGACGGATCAATTCCATTCAAGGGTCTCTCTTACAACTTCATTATGACGAAAAAATGGGTGCTGATGGTTCCAAGGCGTAATGAGAGCTATCATCACATCTCTATAAACTCGCTAGGATTTGCTGGAATGATTTTAATAAAGAGCGAGGATGACTTTGAGCTAGTTAAGAATGTTGGGACAGTAAACATTTTGAAGGAAGTAGCATATGCCAAGACATAATATAGAGAAATGTATTGTTGTAAATAAACAAGTATACCGGCCAATTCAATTCCTCTTCACTAAATAATCCCTCTTCTTTTCGTGAACGTCCCATCTACCCCTAGTGGTGCCTTTCCATTTTACAGCCAAAATGTCTCGAGCTACATCAACCTTCTTCTTTCTGGTTGGGCACAGATCTAGTATAGTCCTTCTAGCTTTCTCATCTTCAGCCTGAACAGCCATTTGATATGTGACGCGAAAATCAGCCAGCTTGGGTGTCTGCATGGATGCAAGTTCTTGAAGTAGATAAATTGCATTGGAGAGATCATTGCATCTTTAAATGGAAAGGTGTTTCAAGGTAAGCTTTTGTGATAGGAGAAGAAATGCTAAAAGTACGTACGAATACCTAGCAAGAGTATTGATCATCCATTGATAAACTTCATATTGTACAGCAGCCGTTCGTCCGATTTTCGTCATCTGGTCGGTCTTGTCATTGTTACCCCACCAACTTTTCCAATCCTCCCAGACTCTCAAAGCTTCTTCATATCTTCGATGCTTATAGCAGGTTTTGAGCATAGTAGAATATATCCAACCAGATTGTGGGATGCCTAATTCGGGCAATTTTTCTTTATATAATGATAGAACATCATTAAATTTACCTTTTTTATGGAAAATGTTCATATATGCATCCATTAGATAAGCTGACAATTGGATCTGCTCATCACCCGATTTCTCCAAGCCATTTGAATTGTTGTCAGTCATAGATTTCACGTACTCGAATATCATCCTTGCTTCAGCGAGTATTTGCTTATCAGTGACAGGCTCATAAGAAAGGAAGGGATATGCATCCAGATGCACTAAAGAATTATCGTCGCCCTTATCCGGAGTGGACTCGCTCGCGGTAGAGGTTTCAGATAAAGTTGCCTTTTCTGACAAAGACACGGTGCCATCCGACAATGTTATTTGTTCTTTAAGCGCATTTGGTGCATTCACACTGTCTTTGTGTGATTTATCCTGCGGTTCAACGTATGCCGAATAAGTCCAGAACATATTGGTGAATGTTTGTTCATCAGGTGTAATGGTCGAGTTCCTAGCACTAGCATAACTTGTTAGATAAGTAATCCTGAAAATAGTAATTCACTGATTCCGTTAAAATACTTACTCTTCTAATAACTGTTTCAATAGCATCCTGGCCAGACGGACGTCACCCGTCTTTGCACACGCATATATTAGCGAGTTATAAGAAATTCTGTCAGGTTGATAACCGTATTCACGCATCTGTTCAAACACGGCGAACGCTTCTTTGCAATAGTGTACAAAGGCAAGTAATTAAGGAACCAATTGTCTAACCAACAACTGACAATCAAAGAATAATCAAGGATATCTTTTCGGTGCGCGCACGCATTTATTAGTGAGTTAAACGTAACCTCTGTTGGATATAAACCCTTTCCAGTCATTTCTTCAAATAAATCGAAAGCTTTCTCAGCATCTTGTGTCTAAAGAGAGAAAGCCATCTCTGTTTATATACATACAAAGAACTTGCTGATAGTTCAGAATGATTGTGAGCGACATACCTTTGCACATGCATGTATCATCAAACTGTATGAAACTTCATCCGGTTGGCAAACTTCTAATCGCATTATATCGAACGTGCGCCATGCGCGCGGAACGTCTCCGCTGTCGATGCAGCCTTTCATAAGTGTTGTAAATATAGGCTAATTCAAGGTAACCAAACAGGATGATTTATGGTATGTTCGTATAGCCCACCACTTGGATATCACAACAAATAAGAATGCCTGCCTGAGTAGGAACCAATCCTGCTTTTTTTATACTCTCGTATACTGCAAAAGCTTCATCTATTCGGAGGTTTTTCACGTATGCTCTGATCAGGTTTCCGTAACTGTAAATTGAATGACCCATTCCATCTAAAAACTAATCGTTAGCGTCATTAGAAATTCATCATACAAGTAAATTCTTACGAATCTGATACGCACCACTATTAACTTGTTCGAAAGTTAGTTTCGCCTTTTCTACATCACCAACGATCGCGTACAAGTTGAGAAGATGATCGTATGTCTTGATATCAGGTGTTACTTTGGCATCCTTATGAATCATGAAGAGAATGATTTAATGACAAATCCAGGTGAATTTCCGTAACTAGGCGTAACTGACTTTACATTCATCAATTGTATGATTTCCGGGACTTCCTCGTATCGCTTACTGATGATCTGACATAATAAATCACGGTTTAAAATAAGTAACAGTTGTTGTTTTTTTCAACCGCAATATAATATTTAAAGACATACGCTATAGCACAAAATCCTATTAAAATCTTCCACATTGTTTACACCCGTCACTTTCAAAGCAACAGTCAGAGAATTTTCTGCGTTTGCAACAGTCTTTATTTCCGTGACTGATGGCAATCGTTTGTTTAATTGCTCGGCCGTCTCGATTCGTTGTGTATCATTAAACGATAAAGACAAATTGTCTAATAGTGGATCAAACTTTCGCTGAGACGGTGGCAGGAGAGGGGTTGACAGTGCCTCATAGATCTGTGTGTAATCTGCCTCGGAGAAAGGTGAATGATGTGTCTCTGTCTTTACAAAGACGGGTTTCGAGGAAAGGGGAAGGGATAATGAATCAACATGAACAAATGATGGAGGATCAACAATATCATATATCGAACCTTTTCTGATAAACTCAGTTTATCATGTGTCTCGATTTTTTCCTTAATAGCAACAACTTCTTTGCTTAAAAGCGATGTGACTTTCTTCAAATTTCTTATAGAGTATTGCCATTAGCTCAGTCTTAGAGAAACTTGCTACAAATAATTTACATACTTCTTCTTTAATGTCACATAGGAGCGTCTGTATTGTGGCATGGAACATGCTGGAAGAGGTACTTGTGCGTAAAATCTCGAAAATCTGCTCGTAGTGATACTACTTTGGAAGGCACTCTTTGATGGTATTAACACCCACCGAAATGACCACATTTCTGTGTTTATAAAACTGTTGGTATCGGCAGACTATTATTGAATAGGAAATTTTTGCACAGATAATTCGAGATTATCGAGATCTACTAATAATACACTAAAATATGTACACGCTGAAACTATCGAGGAATATATCAAAGCAAGAATTATCTACTAACGTTGTTATTGCATATCACAATCATTGTGGCGGCGGCGGCGGTGATGTTAGCATTGAGGGGAACAAAATATTGCAATGGTTAAAAGAGTTTGGGGGATAATGTCTTTAAATATGTTTATGCATAAAACATGCAATCTTATACGGAGCCTGAAACATGCAATCTTGTATGGAGCCTACAGCATAAAGCATGCAATCTTACGTACGTATAGATCAGTAGAATGATTTTCTCGTCAAAACTGAAAAAGCATGAAATATGACGACGCAATTTATTTTGAAATTTCTGCAAGAACAAAGATATGGTCGTCTTTGAATCGTGTGGGCTATAATGGAAGCGCGAAAAACTACTGGAATGATTTGTTTAGTTCGCGTAACCAATAGGCTCATCCTTGATTAACTTGATATGGCTCAGCTCGTTGCTCACGTATTCACCGACGCAAATAGGCGGATAGCGATTGTCATCTTTTGGGAAGGGTTCAAGGGGTTGTAGCGTTGCTTCAGTCGATAGATGAAAGAAAAACGTCGAAGAGATACGCCACAGCGGTCTATCAGGACGCGTAACCCTAGCCGTTTCAACAGCCTATTTCGGAAATAATACAGGGCGTAAGAACTTGTTTCAAGCTTTATTTTTCTGTAAGCAAAAATAGCTACCTTCAAAGTTTCCTTAGTTACAACCACTTCATGATAGCCAGCCAAGATTTCTCCACCAGTCAGCCATTCGAGTTGCTTGCCTGCCTGCACGAGTAAGTAACCGTCTGGGACTTGAACGAGGATTCTGTCGTTCTCATTGCGTGGCCAAATGTATAAGCCAGGATATCTCGATTTTCCGTGGACGGATCTGTAGATTCGTTGAAATCACAGCATACAAAGGTGATTTACGATGTACGATATTGAATATCCAACACGCAGGAAAAACAAACATATGCTTTGCAATTCATCGAGAAGCAAGAACATACATCAAGTTAAGATCGTAATGGAATGCTAAGCCAAAGTAATATATAAGTAAATTGGAGATAACAAGTTACATTTCCAAGAATGTATTCTCCCAACTAACCGGCCAGAATAGATCCTATCTTTCCATGTTTTTCCAAGTCACTGCCAGTTGGTGCAAGTAGATGAGCACCGCCAACTGCCATATCACGGATTGTATTGGGAGCCATTCCGAACCCGATAGCAAACATTTCCAAGACAGTTATTGCCGCTCGATGCATCTGACCGCCCCATTTGTCCATGACGTCTGTCCAAGTATCTTTGAACGCTTTAATACAGAATTAACATAAATTATTGTGAATAAAGAAGATTGTGGTAGTGAACTGACGCGTTAGATAACGTCACCTTCCGGTATAACAGGTGTAGCATGGAGCCGCGCATATTTTGTTTCTACCGAAAGTTTTTCGATAGGCCACATGAATCGCCACTTTGGATCTGGACCTGTCGGTCGTACAGGTCGATTTTCTTCTGTCATCTTGTATTGAATATGTTCCACGCAAATCATATTCTCGTTTTAATGACATCTTTTGAGATATATCATGGTTGAATGGCAATACATACCTCGTCAATGATTTGATGACATTTGGGATCACGAATGCAGCGGGCTTCCTCGGTGAATTCAGGAGTAACTCCAACTTGATATCCAACGTCGGGGCGTGCATCTCTCATTTTAACCTGTCAGTCATGTTTATCATTACGTGTTTAATAAAGGCTGACAGTGCAATTTACCAACCTCGTGGGATTGTGCATAGTAATCCTCCATCATGTCCTATGACACAAAGCGAGGATTGAATGTTGCAAATATCATCGTCAATTTGTCTTGTCTCTTTTCTCTTTATAGAAGGTAGAAACAAGAGTATACAATCCACAAACCAAGAATCGATCATTGTCTTCTTTTGTCACTCGTGGGTCTTTAACCAGAATCGCTCCATAGTCTCGTAATCCATCCGCAGCCTAAAATGATATGTGGTAAATGTACGAAAAATGATAGGACGCAATAATAAATAGTGCTAACCTTTTCGCATTCGCGAATGGCTTCAGGTGAAGTATTGTTTTCAAAATAAAGACCAAAGTCAACTGTGGGAAGCGCAAAAACAATCGACGACATAATTATTTGTCGAATAGTAGACACGATGCCTCTTCATATTGTATAGTTCTTGTACCACCTGCACGCATTAGGTTAGTACAGAATCTAGTTCATGTTTTCGGAATTTACTCACGATCCAATACCGTGACTAGCGATGAACTAGCCAAAATGTCAATATAATAATTTAGTAAGACTTCTTCGATGTATCTACCTTCCCTCTCCCCACCACCGTGCTTTGACTGTAGGAACAAACATTCTTTCGGACGCCTCCACACACAACAGAGTAAGACTCATCATCCATGCGATAACAAGAGGCAAAGCCCTTTACATAAAATCCTTATTTAGTTACAATATTATTTTGGTGATACTTAATAAATTGGTTGACAAATATTTAGTATTCTTCTGGTTTGTTTCTTAAATGTGAAAAAACTAGTATCAGCATGCCAAAATATGGTATTTTAAAAGTTTAATTTAAACTTGTATACACTGTATGTGAAGAGTAGAGTTAGAAAAGAATTTGATTCTAGAGCCTGTTGCTCCTCTACATAATACTGTATAGTTATATATGTACTATAATAGGCGCGTTTTGGTGGTTTAATAAAAAATAACGAAGACTTTACCACCATAATTTTTCGCTCTGTCTAACTGTGAATTATCTCAATTTACGGTCGCAAACGTTTAAGCTTAATGTTTTTTTATAACCAACAAAATTACGTGACGTGGCATACTGTACATTAAGCAATTGACTCCGGGAGAATAAATAGCATACAAGGTTAACAACTTTTCAAGAATTTATTCATAATGATTCTTTATTTTCAACCACCACTTATATATACATAATAGCATCCATTTGCATTCTATACTACTCTAGTTCCTAATTAGTGATAAATCCGTAAATCAATTAGTAGTTCATGGCAAAAAGAAACTCGCCGCTACAAATATAATACTTATTACCACTTACCGCGCGCGTTAATTTATAGAACAAGTATCTTCTCGTACTAATAAACATAAATAGATTAGTAGTTCATGGCAAAAGGAAACTGCCGCATGGGGAACGACTCACCCGCATGACAAAGTAAACTGCCGCATGGCGTAAATAGTATTCCCGTACGCAGGTATGAAGTATCCGCTATCGCTCGTGGAATACTCGCC